TCCTATGCCGCCCAGCCCTGCTCCACCCTCCCCTCAGCCGCCAAGCCCATCGCCACCCTCCCCTCAGCCCCCAGCCCATCCCCACCCTCTCCTCAACCGCCCAGCCCTACTCCGCCATCTCCAATGCCGCCCAGCCCTACTCCGCCATCTCCACGCCGCCAGCCCTGCTCCGCCATCTCCTCAGCCGCCCAGCCCTACTCCGCCATCTCCTATGCCGCCAAGCCCTGCTCCACCCTCTCCACACGCACCACCCGCACCGCCTCGCTCACCGCCGCAGCCCCCAACCACCCTGGTACGAACGCACTCGTACTGCACACAGAATATGGCGCGTGCGCCGTACGCCATCGGCAACCTCTCCACCTCCCCCACGAAGCCTTCCACGGGTCTTCCCGCCGTATCAATGTGTTTTACGGTGGGCTCTCAGGCCTGCAACTCCAAGTACTCATGTTGCCAGATGGACTTTGCCAAGGTGTGAGAGGTCGCGACCTAAGCACTGCAGGAGTTGACTTAGCCCTAAATTACTTTGTAGATAAGTAAAATCAATATCACTTATTATATTATATCACTTTATTTTGGGGAATCTTCATTAGGCAGACAGGAACATTTTAAAGTTTTAAGGTTTTAAGGTTTTGAGGCGCCGATAGCACACAGTGGTTGTGTAGAGGACTTGCTTGAGCAGTCTTGATCCCAGTGAACCTGTCCCCCTGCTTGCCTGTTTAAGCTATAAGGCCATTACCTGTTCGATAATGGTCTCACGCGATGACCTCCTGGACACGGCACGAAAGGCAAAACCAGTCCTCCCTCAAATTTCCCGCACCAGCCCCTGCTACCTCTGCTAATCATGACCCCAACAATGGCCCACTCCCCAGGTCGAGATCCCCATCAGCCCCGTATGTAAATCGGCGGTTCAGGAAATCCGGGTCGATGGAAAGAAGGTTTCTTACAGCTGGGGTAAGGTCCTTTGCGTTTTGCTTTCGTTGTCATGTTCATAGCGGAATGGGTTATGGCCGTTTATTTGTCTGGGGCGTTCCAAACAGACTTTATACGGTGACGACTAAAGCATTTATATAAGCTCAATCTGTAATATTAAGACAATTTTTAACCCGAAATTCGTTTGCAGGATTGTACCAGCAATTCACTACGCTAAAGTTTACCAGTCTGCTCAGGTAAGCGAGCCATATCCCCGCCCCAGGAAGGGCGGTGTCCGAGGGCGGTGTCAGAGGTGTTTGCTAACTGCGATACGTTGTATGTGAGACAGCATTGTTTGATGTGAAATATACCTGAAACATCTGTTTCTGATTCAGCGCTGGATTCCAGATCCAGGTTTTGTTGTTGTCTAGATCAGCGCTGGATTCCAGATCCAGATCTACATTTGCCAAGAGGTTGCCAGGCCCTTGGTCTCATCTTGAGATGTGCCGTACTCACTCTCCTTTCCTTTATGCTGTTCTTTATTATGCCATGTGCCATCTTCATCCCTCACTTCCGTAGGTACCTTCCACAGCCTGTTGGAGCTCAGTTGTGTTGGGTGGTGGCATCCGGTCCATGTGCAGATGCCGCCAAATTCTGCTTGAACGGCAAATGCCAGGTGTGCGACTGGTAAAGGGACACACATATCGTAAATGATCACAACATACATGATACATATGCACGGTTACCCATACGATGTACGGATCCACGCGAAAGCGGTCACAGACATACCTCCAGCTCAGTACAGTAAACTGCCCAACTCATAACCCCTCTATTGTCCCACGTCGCTCACATACAGGTGAACATTTACTCGACAGACAACAAATGCTGTCCAGCCACATTCATCTCTTGAGCGGTATGTTGATCCAATTGCTGGTATGCTTACCAAGAGTCACCCAGCGTGGCTGTATGCCGCACAACGAGATGAACATGTGACTGTGACTTTCGGGGAATTTTGGATTTGGATTTGAATGGGAATTCCTCGTTCTTGCCGACCATACAGGAGCAGTTCGCTTGCTCTATTTTACGATGTGTGTAATTTCAAAATGACCGGGTTTGCGCCGATTGCTCTGAGCTGCGGCTTAAGGTGCCGTAATAATGCGTGTGGAGATAGAGGGTCGATGCACTTGCTTGCCTTCATTCGTTGTTCGTGCGGTGTCAAGCAAAATCAAGTCTTTTCAGGTATCTCATCAATTCAGGGCTTGCAATTCTATGAGCTAATGTAGATGCAGGATGTTTATCTCGACTGTCGAGAGATTTCGAGGTTTGCGCTGTTTGGCCTTTGCGGGTTGGGATACGGGGTTGTGTAGGGAGTCATGCATACTCGACATATTTGCTTTGGTGTTGCCGCTTTGGTGTTGCCGCTGCCGCTGCAAGGTAGGGCCGCGGTGCGTCAGAACATTGCATGGACGTACGTGGGACACAAAAGCACGCATGCGGTGATGAGGCTTTTCTCTCGATTTCATTTTTTTGCAGCTAAACTAATCATGTCGTGCCGCAGGCTTGTAGTTACTTGGGTTGTGATGCTCCGTTTTATTGCATTTAAAGTTGTCGAGGTTGGGACAGCGAGGTGCCGTAGGCCCGGACAGGTTATCGCAGTTGTGAAGTTGCGGTCCTCATGATACTGGCCAGGAGCTGACGGCCCCCTGAGCCCCAACGGTAGAGGTGCGTGTGTAGCGTAGTGTGCGGAAAGTGGGAGGTGCTGCACGGATGGATGGATGAATGGATGTGGTTCGTTGTGTCGGCGGACCCATGGGCGGCCTGTATGTGATCCATGGGAGCACTCTTTCTGGGCAACAGTAACTCCCTATTTGGATCAGCTATGACCTTCGTTCGGCGAAGACGTGAACATGCTGCTGTAATGTCTGTCTGTACACGTGCCGGTATTCTCTTGCATGCACTCTCCTTCAGCACCTGCATCCACCTGCGATCTGCCATCACTGGTATTATATAATATGTATATATGTCTGCATCATATACCGCAGCTCACCTTTCCCCCATCAGCCGTGACAGGCTTTTCTTCTCACCTGTTAATTTTTGGTCTTTGTCCCCCCCATCAGGTGTGATCGGTAGATTTCCCCCCGGCTTTCTGTTGGTCTCTCTGCCTCCCCGCGTTTTCCGCTCTCTTACTTCCTGTTGTATCCTGGGCATATTACAGGCTCTGAAATTCGCAGATCGGTAGTTTTCTGCAGTCGTGATACAATATGATACACCACCTCTTGTCTGCTGGTGATGCTCGTCCCAGCCTCGCTCCATTTGCCTGCCTTCCTGCCTTCCTTGCTTGTCCTCTCCCAAATACTCAATCCCCTATCCTCACATAGTGCATTATTGGATCACCGAGCATTTGCGTACCCTCCTCTCCGCAGCCACAGTGTCCGCCTGTCCTGCTCTGCTTTACCTACCTGCTGCACATTTTTCATGCCTGCCTGTACCTGCGGACAGTCAGCCAGTGTACGGGAACATGTACCGCTCCTGTACCTTCGCTTTGTTGGTTGCGGCATGAGCCAGTGAACCGGCTGTGTATAAGCCGGTGAAGACGGGAGATCATTGTTCACCCTAAACTTAATTGTTGTATCACGACTTTCGAAATGCACCGATCGGTGAATGTCAGAGTCCCGTGATACGCCAAGGACACAGCATTATCCACCCTCCAGGTGAGGGTGTCCTCGACCTAGCCCGCGGTCTCTGCGGCGGTTCGCAGGACCCGTCACCTCCAGCTCAAAACATCACCAGGCCTAATTCGAACCCTGGCCGGGACAGGATTGATAGTCTCGATACCAATTGCTGCATCACAGCTACAGAATTGCACCGATAATAGTGCTGTATGATGCTGCGACGTTTCATCACTCCTAATTACAATAATTCTTGGCACGCATCACGCATGCCACCGGTAGGTAAGTCCCCATACGTTGCGTGGCGGGCAGTAATGTGTTGGAACGAACTTTTACTGGTGCCTTGGGGCGAGTCAAAGCTTCAGGGAAGAAGACAAGGGTCGCACCATGCTTTAGTGGTTCTCTTTGCAGGCCATATGGCTTAATAAGAGGGGATAAGAGGGCAGCCAGCACTCGCTTCAGAGGCCTTCCAGGGGTTAAGGGAACCTTAGGCGGAGAAGCATATGTAATGTAATGTAATGTGTTACAGAGTGGGAGGCTTCTGGGCCGCTTTATCACATTGTCAGTTCTACGATCATTTATCACCTTATAGCACCATCCACCACTACCACACTGTCTTCGCCATACGAACTGTAAGTCCAAGGCGGCGGATCCAGCCTTCAGGGACCCCTCCTCATTCATTCACCCGAACACCCGAAGAGACGGAGGGTTCGGCAATCGCCACCAATCCAGCGTGCGAATCTGGTCCATCAACTGTGACCTCAACTCCACATCTCAGCAGCTAGCCATAATCTCGCGCTCCCGACTAATTCGGGGGTCTCCCCAGGAATCGAACCCAGGACCTTAAACCGCTAATTGCAGTAGTGTCAACCCAGACCAGACGCATATGAATACACAGACAGAAGCATATGAATACACGTCGCGCCTCAACGCGTACTCGTACCAATGCAAGAAGACCATTTAGCTCGAGACTGCACTTTACCAGACAGCTGCTGCCTGATGTTTTGTGTCGTTTTGATGGAGCGCACCACGACGCAACGCACCAGTGGACGCGTTGGCACATAGAACCGTGTTTCTGGCAATGCTGAACACGCAACATTTTTTGCGCTGCTTGCAAAGACAATATCGCCAGAGGGGACACCTCCAGAGTTTTGTACTAAATGACGAACGAAAATGTATTCAGGATGCTGGTGGGATGAATGGGATGTTCTGCTGAAAAACAAACGAGAGTTCAAATACGCAGGTGGAGTAGTGGGGGATCCCCTGATGCTTAGGGAACTTGCCCTACACCATTCCGGGGATTATCTACGCAGCTGAGAAAGGTAACATTTTGTCGTTTTCATCTGAGGTTGTAACGGATGGCGGCCGTCATCCCGCGAACGGCTCTGCTGCTCCTCACCTGCTGTGAACCCACATCAGAACAGGAAGGCATCAAAAGCACAGGATAGCACGATGTCATATCCTCATCCCCCAAAGTGTCTTAGTTGTAAGGCCATGTGCCCTGAAAAGACCATGTGCCCATGAGTCGTTGCCAGGGACGACTGAACTTCCGCACCGGACGCTGCTGACCGCAAACAACTGACGCGTTACCGCTCATTAATAGGTGAAATACCCAAATATATGTTTTGCATGCCGAACGAGCAAAGGTAGGATTAGTGAGTAATGGCACGACGGGTGGGTTTGTACGAGAGCTGCCCGAAACCGTTCTAGCTCATTACAGGGATCGTTTTCATGTAGTTTGGCAAATCTGCCAAAGGCCTACATGAACGCTGCATCTTCATATCAGAACACAGGCAGGTTTCCTGGAAATCATTTAGCAATCAAGCAGGAGGCTGAGCCGCTCCTAACTTGAAAGTTATTTATATCTATTGAGAAATGCATGATGCATAGTATTATGTTTGGGGACATGCGCGTCTTTCTTCGAATGTTACAAAAATGATACGCACGCACGATAACTGGTTCTGCGCTGCCCACGTCTCTTGACGTTTCATAGACCTCGATGGACCTCTTTTTGGATGAGGCAGAGTCAGCGTTCCTCCAAGCTGTTCTTACCGGCACCGATGCCAGCCCCGCATTTCCCGTGGCGCGGGCCCGGGAGGTTGCAGCTGTGCAACACTACAGCCAAGGTGTTCCAAGCTCTCAAAAGGGGCTATCTGGCCCAGGAGAAGATGCTGCGGTAACCGTGCGGCCTGATGGGTCTGCATTCCCATCCCCATCGGACAACCAGGCACCCGGCAAACAGCCCCATTGCAGCAACCCGCACACACAACAACCGCCGTGCGCTCCTACCCCGTACGAGCTACCAGTAGAGCAGCATTGGCTACAGCCGCAGCCAGGACATCAGCCGCAGTCACAGCTGCAGGACACATCTGGGAGGGTAAGCAAAACCCTCTGCACTGACTCAGCAGCCTGCCAAAGCCGGCAACCGCAACCTCAGCCTCAATTGCAATTGCAGTCGCAATCGCAACCACCGCAACCATTGCAAGGGCAACACCCGTGCCAACTTTCTGCACAGCAGCACCACAATCCACATCATCATCAGCAGCAGCAGGAGGCGGCCGCGGCAAATGGCCAGGTAGCCATCACCCATATTCACCACCAGGACACGACCTCGGTCCAACCCCCAGTTGCTGCAGGGCAACTCGTGCATTACCGCCTCACCGAGCAGCTCCTCTCTGCCGCCCCGACGATCTCCCCAAGCACGGCGGGGACGGCCCGGCCGCACAGCGAGCCAATAGCCACGGGAGCCCCTCCCCCCGCACCCCCCGCCCGCTCCTCTTTCCGTCAAGCCGCGCCCACCCTCCCCAGCTCCAACTCAACCATCAGCACTGTCAGCGAAGCCAGCACCGCCACGACAAGCGGAACCGCAATCACAGCAGCCACCAGCGCCCGGCCGCATCGCCGGCGCCGCAGCAGCAGCACCAACCTTGCCGGTGCGGGCGCCCTGGGCAGCAGTAGCGGCATGAGCAGCGGCAGCAGCACCTCCCGGAGGTTCTCCTCCGCGACCTCTATTCCCGCCAGCGCTACCGACCCGGAGGCCGCAGACGCATCAGCCATGGTCCATGGGGCCTCGACAGCGGTTACAATGGAGGCTCCGGCGGCTGCCGCTGGTGTCGCCGCTGCCGCCACCGCAGCTGCCTCAGCAACACCGTCCTGCCGCCGCGCGCACGGCCTGCTGCAGCGCATCCAAAGCCTCGAGGCTCAGCTCACGGAGCTGCTTGTTGCCGACAGCGAGGAGGAG